CAGGAGGTGAGTGGGTTGTGGGGGCCCTTTAGCAAAATGTTGTCCAGGGCCCAATTAATATTAAAGGAGAACTATGAGATGAGTGATTTCCAATCACCTCATAGTTCTAGCCGACCTGTGACAATAAGACTGTCACAGGTCGGCTTAGTAGATCAGGAGGTGAGCGAACACATACCGAGTTCGCTCACCTCTCGATCCTGTCACGGCTCTCTGCCATGACAGTGGGAGGGGCTGGATTCCCCCCTCCCCGCTCCGATCTGCCAGCGCTGACTGGCGGAACGGACGGGGGGGGGGGCGGGGACAGCTGGCTCTGCCTCTAGATAGGCAGAGCTAGCTGTCACTCACGCAGCTGGGCGGATCTCTACGTCGATGTCGGGATCCGCTCCGGCTGCGGCGTCTCAGTATACCGCGAGCTGTAGCTCCCTATATACTGAGCTTAGGGTGACGGGAGGACGCTAGTTTGTGTCCTCCCGTTACCCTAAGGAGAACTATGGGGAAAAACACTGACCCCATAGTTCTCCTTTAAAGACGGCCCTACTTTCAGATTCAAAGTTTATCGGAACAAACTGAAGGTAGATGCTGATTGGTTATGATGGGCAACTGCTCCAGATTCTGTCTGCTCCAGCTTTGATAAAGTTAGTATTTAAATGTTAGCATAAGCCCAATCATGACCGGTTCTCTTTACTATTGGACATTGTCCTCCATTGTTTAGACATGTAGATCTGAGCTTTATGATTTCCTGCATGTGATCTGAATATTGAAATATTTTACCGGGTACCAAAACCAGCGATACAAATGAATTCACACCTTTATTGCACTTCACAGTCACATTAAAACTACAATAAACTCTCACAGTTAAAATAAGTTACATAAATACGTTGTATGTACAATGTGTTTTACATGATACCAATAGTGTATGTCAAGACAAAGGCTTTTTTATTTCTAGTTTTGGATAGAAAGGATTAAAAATCTTTATTTTACTGCAATCTGGTGCTCTGTAAAGCTCAGTACTCACGTTACAATCTGATTGGACAATCTCCTTTAGGCCCCATTCACACCACAACCCATGCAAAATCGTGTTGCACTTGGTGGGGCATTATTTGTTAATGGAGAACTATGAGGTGAGTGATTTTCACTCAACCTCATAGTTCGAGCCGACGTATGACAATGAAACTGTCACAGGTCGGCTCAGTAGATCGGGAAGTGAGCGAACACATACCGTCGCTCGCTCACTTCTCGATCCTGTCCCTGCAGAGAGCCGTGACTGTCACTCATGGCTCCCTGCAGGGATTCCCCCCCCCCCCCTCGCTCCGATCCTCCAGCGGATGGGGGAGGGGGCGGGTACAGCTGGCTCTGCCTCTAGATAGGCAGAGCCAGCTGTCACTCACGCAGCTGGGTGGATCTCGACAGTAATGTTGGTATCCGTCCCGGTTGCGGCGTCCCGGTTGCGGTAGCTCGCGATATACTGAGATTTGGGTCACGAGAGGACGTAGGGTTGCCACCTGTTCTTCAAGTGAAACCCGAACACTCTAGCGACGCACAGACATTTTTGGGGGAGAATGAACCGTGGCTTATTCATATGTAAATAGCGCAACCCATTCATATGTGCATATCACAGTTGAGACTATTTTCAGCGGGGGGCCAGTAGCCCCTATCTTAATTTTGGTTGCCCCTGTCTGCCTGACATCTTGTGTACGGGTTTCTGCTGCCATGAAACCCGGACACAGCATTCAAAACCTGGACCGTCCAGGTGAATCCTGGACAGGTGGCAACCCTACAGTTTGTGTCCTCCCGTGACCCTGAGGAGAACTATGGGGTAAAACACTTACCTCATAATTCTCCTTTAATGGTACAAAAACAGACATTGCCCAGCACACTCATCAGCCGGCCCCAAAAAGTACACTATCTAACTATTAAGGTTAATAAGAGAGGTTTTAGTTGCACGACTTTTGCAAAATATGTGGTCCCCGGTGTGTCCCTGTGCCTTTAAGGAGGTTGGGCTGCCTCCTGGCGAACCTGTACCCAATTCATCCTTTGCTATATATGCTCCAAGATGGCGGCTCTCATAGGTTAGAGTTAGGACCGCACTATACAGAGGGGCCTTGACGTTGGCTGTGCGACTTCCACGTATTTAGCAAAATGTGTACAACTAAAGCCTTCGTTTTTAACCTTAGCAGTTAGACAGTGTCCTCTTTTTTTGCAGGCTGGCCAGTGAGTGTGCTGGGAAATGTCTGTTTCTGTATTGTGTAAAGCCCTTCCATGTGCACCTTGCTTTAAAGCTAGTTATGAATTGATGAGTGCGTTTGCCATTCCTTTCCATTATTTCTTAATGGCACCCGAACCGCGACAAGCAAGACGCGCATCTTGGCGAATGCGTGAAGGCGTGAACATGTGCAGTCACACAGCACACAAAGCTGCGTTACCTTTTTTTTGCTGATTTTGTTGCACTCAGGAGCAGCCCACTGAAACGGACTGAGGCGCGACAAACACAGCAAAACGCACTGCGTGGCAGGTGTGTACGGGTCCTTAGATCTACCAACAATATGGAGCACAAGGGCCTGTCTGATTGGATGAAAATCGATTGCATACTTTAGGTGGGTCCTCGTATTACATTATTTATTTTATATATGATTTTATTTTTGTTACTATAAAATTGATATTGCAAAGATTGTACTGTTATATTGCAACAGGTATGGTGAGTTTTGGAGAGATTTATCCTTGCTTCCTGTCCTAGTGACCACAGTTTTACTAGACAGGAAGCGAGGGAAAGTCTGCAGGAAGAGATAGGGGGTTTTCACTATGTCCTTCCTTAGGGAGATGTCTTCTCACTTCCTGTCCCGGTGACACCTTGGGTGATGGGATATCACCTGGATAGGAAGTTTTGGAGAAAACGCAATTGCAATCCACAATAATATAGTCACATAGCCTTCTGTTTTGGTAGTAACTACTTATAGGCACATTTTTGTTAAGACATTTGGTATTAGGTGTTTTTTTTTTATATTAAGTGCTTCATGTGCACAATGCTAATCAGGAAACTCGCTCTGCTCTGCTATTTCCTGGTTTCGGCATCATTGATTCTCGGATCAGTTCCAGCCCATTGGACAGACGATGCAGATTTATTGTCCAATGAGCAGACTGCGATACAGGAATTTGCTTTGCTGAACCAGGAAATAAGTCTTGTCTGTGTATCATGACAGAGGTGCCTCCATCAGAAGATTGGGTAGGAAGAATGGCAAATCCTTTGGCAGATGGAACAGTAAAAATTAACTTATTTCAGTTGTATAATTAGCTGTTTGCCGAACGTTCTGCATTAATTATATATGAATTTCCTATTTCCTGCTTATGAAGTGCAGGTAGGTCACCAATATTTGTCTAGGGCAATACCTATGTTGAACATGTTTAATGCCACACAGGACCGGATTTACTCTCTCTGCTGCCCCAATGCCAGGTTCCTCAATGAGCCCCCCCCCCCCCTTAAACTAAATATAGAAAACAACTACCCGCCCAGCATCCGGAACTGCATGTCCTGGGTGTCAGGAGATAGGAATTCCACACCCCTGCTGCCCCTCTACTCCCTGCTGCCCCAAGGCCGGGCCTCGGTTGGCCTTGTGGGAAATCCGGCCCTGACGCCACACTCACGAGAGCCAGCAGCTCTGCTATGCTGTTTGAGAGAGGCAGGGACACTGTGGGGTTCAAATAGCCGGACGGATGCCATTCGCACAACCCTAGTGCCCCTAGATAGTGCTGACGAGTGTAAAAACTCCTTAACACCTACACGCCATTTAGGGGAGCTAGTGCCGTGAGAACCCCCCCCCCCCCTTCCCCCC